TGACTTTCCAGAGTCACACAATAGTTCTGAGTGTTTGCCTTCCAAATCTAACCTTTGTGCACTAATCTCTATCTCACCAACAGTTCTCAGTTCCGTCACAGGCCGCACCCTGACCCATCTGGGTGTAGGATTGGGTAACAGAGAGCTTTAACGCCATGCAATAAGTGTCTGATCTCCCTGATCCTTTTTTAGTTTTTACTTTTTTTCGTTTTTACTGATAAAGTGTGTAGTTTTCTCACATTAAGTTTAACAGAAAGTGTAAGTAACAATAGGTAATCAGTGGTTAATCTTCTATAGCGGCTAGAAAATGAAAGAACGGAGAAAGAGAGTGAAACTTTCCTATCAGCAGTGCCCCTGATGTTTGCCTTGGCCAAAGCACCTTAAGTCTTCCACTTATTAAAGGCATCATATTGTATCTGATGGACGCCCAGTTTCCTGGTATTTAGCAGTGTGAATTTCAGCCCTGTTTCCTCTTCTCCTTCCTTGGTCTTCAAACTTACCTACTTAATCTTTGTATGAAACCTCATTGTTGAGGTATGTTTTTAAGAAGTCATAGCCCTGGTCTTGTTTTAGGTCAACTGTCAAAGCCACTATCTCTGGGAAGTCCTGAAATAGCCACATTTTACCCCCTTTTAAAGAGCACGCCAGAGAAAGAACTTGGAACAACAAGCAGGCATTATCTGACTTGATGCTAAAAAGCAGACTCAGTCAGACAAGCATCCTTACTTAAGCAGTCTCTGGCAGGAAAGTGTAAAAGGTTCATTATCAGGGATTCCAAATGATAGCAAGAGACCACAGACAAAAAAACCCCAACTCTTTTCTTTTCTTTTTTGGGGCAGTTGTGACATTTTATTGATTGTAGTGCTGCGAGCAAATGTGCAACTGTGTGGGAGTCAGAAGAGTTAGATACATTTGTAGAGATTGTGTTTGACATGATGGTTAGTTCTGATTTTAAAGGCTCCAACAACTTTTTTGTTCTTTTCTTTTTTCTTTCTTTCTTTTTTTAAATTTCTTGCTCAATGAAAAAAATATGTTTTCTCAACAGCATATTATTCAACTCAACCCACAGTGAAAGACCGCTTCCTCTCCATCTGTACGTCAAAAAGATCAATAAAATAACCAGGGCATTGCCACCACAATGAAACTCTGTCAATGTGCCAAGAAGCTCCAAAAGATCCCAATAAATGCGTAGCAAAACTTTCAATTTGTGGATTTCTTGGTGTGGCACTTGCAGCCAATGGGTTGTCAGTCAGGGCCCTGGTTCAAAAAACCCTGAGGTTTGTTTGCTGCTGGTTCTTTTTGGAAACTTGTGGCTTTGTGACATCCTCGGCCCTCCATTGGGCTGTGTTACTGTATTGCCTCATATTATCCAGGGTTGAGGAGAATTGTTTTTGGCAACAGAATGCTAACATTTTCCTACGATGCAAACCTCCAAGTGAGGCCCTCTTCTTCTGCTCACTCCAATGGATGAGCAAGCTTTGTGAGGTCCTTCTCTACCATGGGAACCATGGGTACTTTTCTGATATCATACCAGTGAATTTTGTGACTATGAAAATAGTGTATGTTTCATTCTTTAAAAGACTGACTGTACATGCAAAGCATACATATGTGCCTTTATGGGCTCTATAAAGAGACCCTGTTTGGGGTTGTTGTGCTGTTTTTTTAATAGAATGATTTTACTCTGTCATGTGTTTTAGACTGTGACAGAGCTTGTAAAAACAATAAAGCGGTCCACTCACTGAGGGTCATGTTTTCTTTTGTCCACTTGGTCGTCATGTTCTGTCAATACGAATGGTGCTAAGGTGGCGTTGAAAAACTCCTGACTCTGTCCAATAACAAAAGTTATGCTATGAAAAACTAATAATGGAGGGGTTTTCCCTCACAGCCAGGTCGAAAGCACATGCCACAGGCACATAGTGTCACATGTACAAACACACACAGTTACGCATATTCCTAATGAGGGTCTGGACAGCTCTCGGTGGAAGGATTCTGCAGGTGGCTGCACTTTCATCAAGCCACGACTGGATTTGTTTATGTTTGAGGTCATATGGGCCAGAGAGAGACATTTGTGTGCCCAGACACACATTTTACACACTCTGTCTAATTACCCTCACTTCAGTGTTTTCTCTTTTCCATAAGACATATTGACATGTCAGCATTCAGCAGGCTAGATACAGAACAAATGGACAATTTTACCTCTCTCTGTGTGTAGTGGAAAATCTATCCCTCAACATAGGCCGGTCTGTATTTCGACCTGTCTCTTCAACCAAGAGTAAAGTCACTTTGAGGCAATGGTGACACGTGCAATAAATCATAGGTCTGCCAGTCAGTGGCCAATCACATTTTCCTTCCCTAATTAATAGCTTATTTATTTGTTTGGCAGAGTCCTGCTGCAAGGGTACAATATTCGTAGCGTGTGTTTGTCTGCTAAGTGTGTGAGGGTATTATGTGAGTCAGTGTGTACACACAACTTGCCAATGTTGAAAGAGCATCTCCACCTGTCTTTGTGAACTTTAGATCACAGAGTACCCTGTTAACCACTAATCTTTATATTTAACTTCCCCCCAAAAATGGGTCGCTTCACAATAGACAATCTACATTACAAATGCATAGAAATAAAATGCAAGGAAGCTTTATAATTAGTCGGCCATATTTCTGACAATGAGCTCAGTGTTTCTGGACTCAGAAGGGAGGTTTGGACGAAGGAGTGCCCACACAGTCCCGACCCCCAACCTAAAGCTGAAAGGCATTAAGGCATCAGTAAAACCACTCATGTCTGCTTGCATGTCTTCTAGAGTTTTAGGTTACTCTTGCACAATTTGATACACACACACACACTTGGCATGTAGCTGAGCAGAGCAGAGGGAAAGTCCAGAAATTGTCCTATAGCTGTTGAACGCCTGGTAGCATTTTAGATGACCCAGCCAAGCTGTTGGTTTTGTAAACTGTTGCAGCTGGTTTGGTGTATTACAAGAAATGGGACAGCACACTCCAAACTGCAGCCTCTCTCTCTTACACACTTTCTCTAGTTTACTGTCACTCTATTCCAATTTTTAAAGTTCACGAGCACTGCTTTTTTACCTCCCGGGCAGACGTAGAAATCGGATATCTTTCTTTCTAATAAATAGTCATGTTGAAATCATGTTAAAAAACTGACGAGGCCTGCTTTTGTTCCACAAAATTTTAAAAAATTGTCTGTTTATTTTGTGCCGGTTTGTGACCGCTTGTTCCTTTAAATCATGACGTTGGCATCTGTGGCTGCTTTTTTCATCAAGAATAAACTTTGTCGTGGTTTCTTTTTTTCATCCATATGTCCCTGTAATTTACTAAACCGAAATAATGAACATAAAATTTGATATACAAGAAATGCTTTATAATAAAAGAAAATTTAAAAAACGCACAAAATAGGAGGATCAGCAAAGTTTGTTCATTTTTCCCAAACTTATGCTAGCATGCCTGTAACATAAGTTACCAAATCAGCAGGGACACTTATATTTTCATCTAGCAGCACAGTTTCTATGTGCACATTTTTAAAACAAGGGAGCTACAGTTACAAGTGAAAAATCTTCAATTTGATAGCATGTTTACTGTTGCTTTGTTTGGAGTGGATTTCACAGGAACAGGATGCGTCTGTAAAGGTTTAGATGATGTGTACAGTAAGTAGGTTGAAAACACTTTTGTAAGTGTCTGTGGTGTAATTACTACCATTTGGTGAGGCTTAGAAGCACATCCCTAGACAGCTTAATGTAGAAAACCATCGATTAAGGTACATCCGTGTGCATATGGGCCATCTGGTTCACTGTTTAGCAAGGGGGAGGGAGGGAAGAAGAAGAAAGAGTCAACTTTTCTGCTCTACTATGTACTAAAGTTCCTTTTTTTCAATCTTAACTAAAGAATAAACAGTTGGAGAAACTCACACGCTCTTTTTTCCCTGAGGTTCAAGCAAGTGGGCATAACCTAAATCTCATGCACATAATTCATAATAACTTCCTGTGAATTACAGCGTTGTATTGAAAGGTGCATAAAAGACATCGCTGTGAGCCAGAATTTAAAGAATAGCTCCACAGTCTACATGGAGATTCCACAGCAGATAAATATCTCTTTTCCCATCACGGTGGGCCGCATTGGTTAAAGAAATACAAACTTTAATATGTCAGCTCTAATATAAGGGCAGCCAGTCTTGTCACAACGCCCAAACAACATGCATACTGTTAAAGGGCAGATGGGGAGGATAGTGAGCAGGAAAAGGAAGGTTCAGATATGCTTTAAGTCTGCACTTGGGGAAGTTTTATAGGCCTAATTTGACCTAAACTCAGTAAAGTACTATGCTGATCCTCAACTCCACCCCAAACTGCTCTGAAAACAGTCTGCATTTCTTCTTTGATCCTCATTTACCATCAATGGGCTTCAGAGAGGGAGAGAAAAAGACAGGCAAACTTAGAGAGACTCTGGGTTACCATTCTATGTGAAATGCCCTCTCACTGCAGCAGAGTAGCCCGATCTCTTCATCATTCCCCCACTTCCTTCATTTCCTCTAGCAGACACTGGGAGCATTCTACCACCCATCTGCCCCCAGTAAATATTGCTTGAAGGCTTAATTATACACACACACACTGACACACATACACACACACATAGATATTCTCAGTGAAATTTCCTGCAATGCTGAAGCGGAGAATTAACGTCAAATACGGGGTATTCATTCATCAGAATGTGTGCAGTGTTATGTTTGCTTCTGTGTGTGTTTTTGTGACCTCTTAGTCCATTATTATATCCCTCTGGTCACATTTGTAGCCCAGAGGGTGTATGTGTGTGATGAACTGCGAACACCCCGTGCTTTTGTCATCAAGCACCGACGGTCAAACCTTATTTGAAGTGCTGGAATTGATGTTTTCTTTTAATGCTTTGACAAATGTATTTGACTCTCAATCAAAATCAAAACTTGTCTGGCACACTGAAAAGATATGTATATTATATATGTTTTTGTGTTTGCTTTGCAGATGATGAATGACCATGAGGATGACTCCCCTGATAGCTGCATCAAAAAGGTAGGATAGTTATAAATCGTTATACTGCTGTGCAACCCGGATCACTCCCTGAATAACTATTTTGCTGGTTTTTACCAATTAATCAAAACTATCAGATTTCTTGGGAGGATGAAGTAATAAACTGGCATTTTGTAGCAGTCACAGAAAAGTGGGTCTTCTATTCCACATTTGACTGTGTTTGTGGGATCTAAAAAAAATCACTGGCCTCTGTGTGAGGTCATGTGAGCTTATATTTTATTGCAAGAACCTCCACTAGCAATTTTTTTAAAGCCTGTTGCCCATCAGTAATGTCCGTCTATGTAGTGCTCTGCAACTGCATTCATTGGCTAGCTTAAGTGACTAAAGCCTTTATTATCACTGAAGACTGAACAACAGTGATCTGCATTCTAAGAAACCCTCTCTTCACTCAGATAAAAAAGACTGACGCGCACACACAGACACAGACACACACACACACACACACAAACACACTATGACCGATACGTCTCATTGACCAGTCAGTGACCACTTTATGAGGTGATAAATTTATTGAAGAGGCTGGGCAGTTTGATTTTATGACCAGTGTCACTAGGTCAACAAAGAACAGCAAGAGAGTTCATGTCCATCTAATGGTCCATGAAAGAACAATGGCTTCTGGAGAGGGCACGCTCTTTCTGAGAAATACTAAAGCCATTGCAGGCATAGCCAACTCAAGTCAGTGACCGAGTAGTCGGAATCAGTTATTGAAAAACCAACAGCAGTAAGTTATATTGTTTAGCAATATGTATTTACAGTATCCCACCAAAACAAGCAAAACCCACTAAGAGCTGAATTTTTTTTTGCCTTTAGATTGCTTGAACTTGTGTTATAGTAGCTCTCAGATCTTTGAGATGGCATTGCTGCAACATTTATTATATTTTTACCTTTGCGTTATCTTACATGACAAAATGGTCAAATATGAGTAGGCTGCTTTTTTAATATAAAAATCTGACTACCTTTGAATAAGTAATTGTGGAAGAGGACTGAACATCTGCATGGCAAAATTTACTTCAAGTCTTTTTAGTGCAGTTTATAATTATGGCTCTTAGAAAAGAAATATGAAATAAGTGTACTCATTTGCATTTCAGGTCAAGGGTCCTGTTGCTGTGGCATCTATAAACAGGCAGGCATGTAAATCACTGACTGCTTGGTTGATTTGAAATCCTACATTAGTCAATGAGCTTATTTTAAGAGTTGACCACAAGTGGTTTGGGCTGTTCCGTCTTCCCCACATGTTCGTACAATGTGGAAAAACCTACTTGGTTTTATAAACTACCAACCACCTTCCACATAAGAGTGGCCCATGCACTCCAGTCAGCATTCAGCAGGCACACACACACTCACATGCTTAGGCGTTTGCATACATGCAGTGATAGGAGCATAGAGTTTTAATGTGTATACACTGAGGCTCACACAGATGACAGAACACAGGCTTACAACATGCCTACCTATGGTTAATAAAAAAAAGACCAACAGACACACGCACAAAAACACACTGGCCACATCTCATTATGCAGTGTGTGAGTTGCGGTGGGCCCTCATCGGGCGGTGGCAGACCACATGCCTGTTATGAATATGAATGAAATTATGCATGAGCCATTCCTTATGACATGACTCATTCATCTGCATGCAGTCGCACACAAACAGAGGGCACACACGCATGCACGCACACACAAACACCAGCTTCTTCTGCCTCTACTGTGTCATTACCATTGCTATGCTTGATTAAGGCAGAATTTTAATTTAGTCGTAACTTGTGAATAAACTAGTTCATTGCAGAGAAATGTGTTTGCATAAGTGCGGGTTATTAGTTCTCATTTGTTACACTGCGCCACATTCCAGCGAACAGAGTTGCAGTTATGTATATCTATCAATCTATCTATCTATCTATCTATCTATCTATCTATCTATCTATCTATCTATCTATCTATCTATATGTATATATGTATATATATGTATATGTTATATATAGTAATGCATATCTACATACTGCCACTGTGTGTATTATTGCGTTACCGTTAACGATTTCAGATTATTTTGTATTGGCAGGTTACCAGCCCCTGCACAAAATGGGCAGAAGTGTATGACTTAAAGAATAACATGAGAATATGACTCACTTTTGGTTCTTTGGATCGTGTAATTTTATGGTAATTTTGCATAGTAACATATGACTTTCTTTTTTGTAGAAAACTATGCAGCAAATAAAAATTAGATTAACAAAATAAATGAAATTTCAAGAAAAATAAAAGCACAAATAGATCAGAAAAGAAAAAATCTAAATCAGCACACGCTCTCTCACATTGCAAGAGATTTAATAGTAACCCTACTGTAATCTTATATAGAAATATAAATTAAGTTTGTCCTTTCCTTGTGCTAACATTCCAGTTAAATTTCATATTAATGTGTCAGTCTCAAAGATGAGTAAAGGCTAGAGGGAGGCACCATTAGAGCCAGGGATAAGGCAGGGGATAAAATAGAAGCAAAGATAATACTGCAGCTTCTTTCTTCCACTTACTAAAAGCTGCTCAGTGCTGACCTTATAGCTGTGTGTGTGTGTGTGTGTGTGTGTGTGTGTGTGTGTGTGTGTGTGTGTGTGTGTGTGTGTGTGTGTGTGTGTGTGTGTGTGTGTATGTCTGTGAGTGTCGATGTTTGTATGTATGACGTTTTTTACTGGCTTCCATGCATGCATCTTTACACCACAGACACACACGGCAAATAAAAAGGTCTGTTATCTGAATCCCTCCTTTGCTTACTCTCTCCATCTTCTTCCATTCATTTTATCCATCTCTTTTTCTCGACACATAGGATGGTGTTGTTGTAGCTATAGATTGCTATCAGGGGCTATTGGTGATAGGATCAGGGATTGTTTGGCTTGGTCTGGTCTGGCTATACAAAACAGGACTATCTCTCTGTTTAGCTGTCTAGGCCCTGCTTATGTATATTCCCTTTCACACACACTCATACACTTAAGTGTATGCGTGTGTGTGTGTGTGTGTGTGTGTGGACATTAATAGGGTATTGGAGGACTTGTGTTTCTTTTTGGATTTCTTGGATTTAAGGGTGGTAGTTAGATACGGAGCAGGGGGAAAGACCACAGTCTGTGCAGTGTGTGCGTGTTCGTCTGTCTGTGGGTCTCTGTGTGTGTTAATCCTCATCTTCAGAAGAGCGCTGCTGTCCACACCGACGTGTGTAAACACTCCAGCAGATCAGATGGCAGATAATGACTTCCAGATAGACACCCTCCATTCAACCAGCAGAGAAAATCAATGAGCACTGATTGCTTTTTTCCCAAGACGATCATCTCCCCCGAAGGGCTACTATCTATCTCTCTCTCTTTCTATCTCTCTTTCTCTCTCAATTTCTCTGTCTCTCTCGCCAAGACCCATTCATTCACCTCTCAATACCACTGAGATTGAATCAATTCACACTGCTTTTCACAGGGGATTTTCTGTGAAACGATACAGGGAAATATCTGTTTAAGACGATCTCTTAAATCTGTTACTCTCCTTGTCGCTCTTCCTCTCTTTTTTGTCTGACAATAGGTGGGCACAGTCACCTAATGTATCAATATTGCATTGATGCATTCCTCATAGTGAAACATGTCTTCATTCTGTGCTCGGCAGGGACCCTCATATATACTTTTATTCACACTTAAGCACCAGACTTTATTTAATCTGCAGGGTAAATGCAGTTTGCAAATTGGAATATGACATGGGTTGACATGAACTTTGACCTAGTAGGTTTTTCCCATTCCATGTTGAAAGCCTAGGGAGCCAAACGGGGATCAGCTGCAGCTCTGAGTCTATGGGTGTGTGTGCACACACACTGAGTATCTTTTTTTTCTTCTCCATATCAAGCTGGGGAATTGAGTCTCTAAATACACAAGCTAAATGACCCTAAATGTATGAGGGCTATTATGTGGACAGAGGGAGGCTCATGGGTCACAGAAGTGATCCAGCGCTTCGGGCCATGGTTTACCCTCGTCCAACAGCCTCACACTCCCCCATGCCTCCGCCTGCTTAAATAGGCTCATGATTGATTGATAATTATGATAATTTGTTTGAAATGATTATCTGGATATTATAATCACTGCCACCCCAGTGTGCCACGGGGGCAAGTCATTTTTCATAATGCTGAACGTCACAAATACCCCCTGGTTTCAGGGGAAGGCTCTGTGCATGTGTGCTTCAAACACAAACACACGCATCAGCACAAAGCGTAGTGCAGGTCTAAAGTTGGATTGTACAAAACATCTCTGTTACACTCAGAGGATGTGAGGTATGCATACACTAATGGAGAGCTAAAATGAATAACTGCATGTCTTTTTTAGGGATAATTCAGTAATTTTAAGTAAATCACATGTCATCAATTCATGAATATGAATTTGTGTTGCTTTTCTGTGAAATGTTGTAATTTTTTTGTGGGCTGAGAGAAAAACTTCTATATAGATAGATAGATAGTCACTCACTTATGCTTGAACTTTGTAATTATCAAAAAATATATAAACCTTTCCAGGATCAGGAAGTTCCCAAACATCTTCTTGTCATTCTCAGGCAGTGTGCAAACACAGCACAGCTCCAATCATCCCGTCTTCCTTGTCATCTAAAGGAAAGAAAAGGGAGGAGTGTGTAAGCATGCGTGTGTGTGTGTTAGGTGTTCGGGGGGCTGCAGGAATAATATTTGTGGTTTTTGCTTCGCCCCGAGATGACTTAATGATGATATGGGTCTCTTTCTTCTGCTGGGCAGGGTTACGTTTTAATGGGGCCTGAGTGACATGTTTTCACTTGGCTCCGTGCCCCCCACCCCCTTACCCACCAGCACCACCACCACCACCACATCACCACTGTCATCCCCTTCCCCCCTTTAAAATATACACCACGAAATGCTGCACTGTGTCTGGTCCAATGAGAGGAAGAAAGTGTTCTGAAACCAGGAGATAATCAACTCTGAGCTTGTAGATAGTTTGTGTAGAGGTTATGGAA